CCCCCACCCCCCAAATATGAAGGTTTCAAATTCATCTCAAGGCAGGATAATTGCTAGATCTGTTGCAGTGGTAGCACATGGTAGAAAGTGAGTAAAGAACCAGGACTGCCTCTTTTGGCATGCTCTGCAGTTAGAATGTTTTAGGCATAATATAATGTGAAACGGTATCTCAGTTAAAAAATCAATCAAGAGACAGAAATTTGTAGGAAATCTGGCTTCATTAGTTCATTAGCTGATCACAGAACCCCCTGTTTACACTGAGCACATATTGCAGGCATCAAAAAGTATTTGCAGCAAATCATCTGTTTCTAAAAGCTGAGGATCTGCTGTGACTGCACCACCCTTCCCTTCCTCCATCATGTGCCTATAAATGCAACTGCACTCTTGCACATCTAGCTCCAAGTGATCCAGGGAGGATATATCCACAGACCAAGCAAGAGAGCAAACTCGAAGGGAAAGGCTAACAGAAACGATTATCACTCTTATCTACTATAAAGGGAATAAACTGTGTTCTAGACGCAATTTCTATGAATAGCAAAATTCAAATTAAATTGATTTGATTATTTATGTTTTTAAATCTCTAGCCATGGATAATGAAGATCTAAAGAAATTTTAACTATCTGGCTGTACAACTCACTCAGCTGTCTTCTCTCTTGATGAGACTTCTACAACTGGATTTTACATTCAAAAGTGGTAGGAAAATTCAGAATCCGAAGAGGAATTTCAGTCTAGCAGCCTACTACTGTGCTCTGTCTGCTGCTTTTTAAATGCAAGCCGTATCATTTGTTTCAGAGTAACTGATGTGTTAAACACTGAAAACTTTAAATGCAGAAAGGAGGCAAATGTAAACATATAATCTGTTTACAGTCATTAAAATTCATTTCTATTTATGCTGACAGGACAGCTTGAAATACTCATTTTCATGAAGACTACCACTGCACTTTGGCAAGGGCAGAGGTCACAGCTGAAATCAATGACCTATTATGGTAATAACTGTATAAGTGCACAAAAGAGTTAACTCAAGAGTCACCATCTAATTGTAGAGAAGGTAGGAGAAAGTGATTTCATATATATGTATTTTTACTCTACATGAAAACAGATGTTGCAGGCTCCTGAAAGAGACTGCACATGTGCTAACCTTTGGGTTAACTCTGACTTGCTGAGGTCTAAGTTCATGTTGACTAAGGGAACTTAGAACTTCCACTGAAATGCGTGAGAAGCTCCATACCTTAATGGGAGTTGGAGTCCAAAAATGGTTGTGGACTTTGTCTCCAAAGTCATATCTCAAGGCAAAGGGAAGTAACTATGGCATGCTTGAGAAGGATCTCAAATTACTACACGCTATCTCTAAACCAACCTCCTCCTTTATCAGTACTGATAATATTTGTAGCCCACAGCTTGCACTGTTCATTGCCATGGAGGGATGAACGCAAACTCTGAGTTTTGCTACGTGGTGCCCAGAATTATCCATCAACTAATTAATTAATATTTTAATCTCACAACCTTTTAGACAGCAGTGTCACTGTTTCAGGTATTCACAGATGTAAATTTTTTGTACTTAATATTAAATATATTTTTATTAAGAGTGTACTAGTATCAGTACTAAACAATACTAGCACTAAACAATATAAACAAATAAACTAGTACTAAACAATACTTCGTATTGTTTAAAGGACACACTTCACTGGAATCATGAGCTCCTCTTCTGCTCATGTAAGGACAAAGGGACTTTAAATCAGTAGCCATGTACAGCAGCAACAGTGATCTCTTAAGTCACCTCATTTTGAATCACTGGAGCTTGTAGGTTAGCAACATGATTTGAATGATGAAACCAGAGACAGTTCAAGTTCATATACTCCTGAGCTTGTCAGCTCATCTCATCATATATATAACTTCATGAGTTTCAGGATTTTTGTTACAGTTACTACCCTGATATCTTTTATGATTAATATTTTATGTTCATTGCAACACTTTGTAGATCTGGTATCAGGTTTCCCAAGAGGACTTAAATCAGTCTCTTCCCAGCATCCCATAAGCTGTGGCTTGCATTGCTGACCACTCTTCAAGAACAAGGAAGGAGGGAGCTTTTCTTGGCCCTCCCTCCCTGAAGAACTCGTCCTTCAGCCACTTCCCTCATGCAGAAGCTCACCGTATTACGTTATGTATATACAGTCGCGTCAAAGGGTAAGTATGCTGAAGTACAGGCTTCAATTTGCAAGCTGTGGCTGGCTGCAGTCCCAGATTCAAGCCCCCAAAAGAGGCACCTACAGTGCCTTCACACAGAAGAGGTGGTTTCCTTAGTAACTGTGACCAGTGAAAGAAAATGTGCCTGACAGGAAAGCATATGCTGGGCTTCAGAGAAAGACAACCATCTCCCACAGCTGAAATATTCTCCCACTGTGGTCTAGGGAGTACGGGGTAGGGATACACCCGTAAATCTCTCGCTGTCCCTGATTCTCTCTCTCCCTGGGTATGGATATTTAGACACCAAACTGGTAAGCTCAAGACCCTTTCAATATATGAATCTTCTGCATGTTCCAATTATAAACATGGGTCCTTAGGAAGGAGCAGAAACAAAGGTGCCTCATTTATTCTCAGCTAGTTGTTCCTTTCTGGAGCCACTTGACAATTAAATGGAAGCCACTTGAATTAAGAAATTTGCAGCACTGCTCCCTCTTAAGCAAATGCAATCAATCTCTCTACAGCTCTTTAGTTAGAAGAAGTTAGTGTTTAATGCAAACTGCCTTTGTCTTCGCATTTTGTGCATAAATTTCTGGTTAATAGAAAAGGTTAAGTACCTTTCCACTAGAATTTAATTAAATCACTCTGCCTAACTCTTACAGTGTATCAATAATAATTACTTTCTGTGTCCATTGTTTTGTCTCTTGCTATTTATATTGAATAGCATCCAACCACCACTCTGATTCAAAAAAAGCTTCACCAAAGTAATGTTTAAATACATCTGACAGATAGACACAAAAGACAGAAAAGTAGAGGAAGCCGAGTCAAAAGCAGTCTTTGTGTTTATTTTTCATCCAACATCTAAGTCCATTCATACATTCTACAGACAGGAGTTTTATAGCAAAGAACCAACTTTAGGGAGTAAATGGGACTATTTATGGTCAGGATGAACAGGTCACTGTCAGATTTTGGTCCTGTAATTTGAAAGACTAGGAGAGAGGTGTTTCCTGGTTTGTTAGAAACCATATTCCTGACTATATCTGAGACATCAAACTGTACTCTGGAAGATAAAGTACAGACATGTTATACAGTTCCAAGAATCTTTACACCTTTTCTTGATAATCAAATGAAAAAGATGAATTTGATGTAACTCCATGTACTGGCTTTGGCAAAGCAAGACCACTTTCCCAGAATGCTATGTTTCTTTGAAAAGCATTTTAAAGTATCTATAGTCATTTATATAGGCAATGAAATACTGTGCTTATTCCACTTAAAAATTTGGATAGTGCAAAACCAAATTATGCTGTGGATATACCACTGCAGGAAGCCATAAAAGTGAATGGCTAGAAATACATACATGTCCCATAATTATGCACAACTTGCAAGAGATGTGTCAGAACTGTACATGGAATAAGACTCAAACTTTTTTGTCTTCTGTGTCTACCTGTCAAAATACTACATGGAAGAAAGGTATATAAAAAGTGATAATTAAATGAGATTGTGATAATGATTTTGTATATTAAAGCAATAAACAGTAACAGTATGGAGCCATCCTTCTGGAGTAGTAGATTATATTTGGTCTAGAATCAGTGGTCAAATGGAGATAAGGGTAGAGCTGACAATGTAAATAGTAGCAAAAACTGCATGAGGTTAAGAAACTGATACTGCAAAAATAGAGAAGTCAAGTAGTATCACTGTGGTAATAGTAACAAAAAAAAATCTGAAACAATTAAGTTATTTTAAGATTTTAATAAATAAATTAATTAAGCAGTATGATTTAAAATAATCAGGCATCAAAAAATGGGCATGGATCCAGTGATCATGAACTGAACTCTCTGCCTTAAATAAATAATGAAAAAGATTAATTTTAGCTATAATTGAAATTACTTTATTGGGAAAACCACTGAGAAATTAGGGAGTCAAAAAGTTCAAGAATTTAAACTTCAGATTTCAAATAGAAAGTACAAACAATTTTCTAGAAGCTGCCTAAAAATATGAAAATTACTCAAGGAGGAGCTGAATACCTGCTCAAGGAGGATGAATAACTACCATGCAAAAAGCAGACAAAAATACAGGGAAATCGCAAATAATAATATTTTCTTCTAGAGATCAAAAATAAAGGAGAAAAGTATGATTCAGTAGAAGTTAGGCTGAACTAAACTACACTAAGAATATTAAAAGCAATTACAAAATGTCCATAATTTACATGAATTAAGGAGGTGGAAGGGGAGACAGGCCATTATGCAGTGACAATGAACATAAAGACAATATATGAATGACTGTAAGTGAACATTTTACCTCAGCTTTTAAACAAGAGCAGTTCTGAACCTGGGGCACAAATAAAATAGTTTATAGGAATGTATGTCTCATCATGGGAATTATCAGAGCTGATGCTGAAACAATGCTCAGAAGTTCTGTCTGCTAAGATTGAGACAGATGGATATGAAAATAACATTTCTAAAATTCTTTAAAGAACAGTTACATATTCCTGGAAATTTTGGGGAAATCAGTATTTTAATGACGCATTTAATGGGGAAGGGAAAGCATAAGATACAAGTTAAGCATAATCATCCTATATGTTTGTAAGACCCACTCAAGGTATTATATATAATAAATGTACAACCTCAAGGCAACTAAAATAGCTTCCCTAGCATGTAAGGTTTAAAGAAAATTTTGAAGAAAACTAGTATTTTTTGGCTTATGATGAAGCAAGCTAATCTAATAAATCTTTAGATAAAATAAAGTATTTCATTTGAACTTCATAAAGTTTTCTAACACTTCAGGGGGAGAGAACCATGTTGTAACCCTGGATAATGAGACAAATAAGATTTATAAGGTAGACAGAGACCTGGGAGAAGGGAGAAGCCACAGCAGTTGCTTCTGAAGGAAACTTATTAGAACTAAGTTTACCAATAAACACAGTAAGTTTTTACAGGACAAAGGTACTTAAAGGTCAATGTAGGCAGCAAAGGTGATAAAATGTCTTTCTGAGTGGCTTTATCATACAGTTCAGTTCTGTTCAAAGAGATGTTTTTACAGTGCCACAACCCAAAATTCAGCAACAATTTTACTCTTCATCTGGATTCTAAAGTAAGAACTTGCTACTGTAATAAGTAGATGACAAAATGAAAAGAGTTTACCTTAGGAAGAGTGACAGAGGAAATAGGATGCACTTAATTATACCAAATGCCACATCACACTGTGGCTGTAGCAATTTGTCAGAGGGAGGTCAGCAGATAACAAGATTTCAAGAACATAAATTCAAGGATGGCTGTAATATGGACAAGAGAGAGGAAAATGTGACTTCAGCACCTTAGGACAACTTAGATAAGGTATTTCCCAGTAGATTTAGACAAATATTTATGTAAGTGTACTAGACATTACTAAGACACTTCTGTGTTTTGTGCGCTTCTGATTGCTTATGTACCTGAACGTATATTTAGGTTATTCAGAAAAAAGGATACAAGAGTGGATTAGCTATTTTGCAGGCCAGGCCTAAAGGACGAGAGGGGTTTGATTGGTCTCTATAGATGTACCAAGAGGTACAGAAGGAAGTCAGAAGTTAAAAGACTATGTTGACACAAAATAAATGATTGCAAACTGACTGGGAATTATATATGTCTAGATAGCAAAGCAACCAAGCTGTATAACAGTTTCCTCATATGATTGAAGTAGGTGGAAAGGGCAAGAAAGACAATAAATATCTTTTAAAGTAATGTTTAATCACATTATGGGAACAATATCAGAGCAAGTGACAGGACCCTGAACTAAGGACTCTGCCCCTGTCTCTTTTCAGTTCTGTACTGTTAATCAGTAAATGCCTCTGATAAAAATTTGACATTTTATTTAAGACAGAACTTCAAGAAACAGCTACATAAAAAGAGGGTGCATGAAGAAAAGGTCTTCTGATACTTGAGGTATATTTAATTTCCTTGGGGCACACAGTGCTGTGGTGAGTTCATGCTGACAGGATAGCAGGTACCAAACAACACTGTTCTATCACACCCTTGCTCAGCTGGGCAGAGGAAAGAACTGATAAAAAACAGGTCTTGGGTCAAGATAAGGACATGGAGGGATCACTCACCAGTTGCTATCAGGGGCAAAACAATCTCAATATTCAGAAATTAGTTTAATTTATTACCAATCAAATCAGAGTATGATAATGAGAAAGAAAAATAAGTCTCAAAAGCACTTTCCCCTCACCCCTCCCTCCTTCCTGGTCTCAATTTCACTCCTGAGTTCTTTTACCCACAGCAACACAGGGAGACAGGAAATAGGGGTTGCAGTGAGTTCATCACATGTTATCTCTGCTGCTCCTTTCTCCTCTAGAGGAGGTCTCTTCACACACTTTCCCTGCTTCAGCATCATCTCCTAGAGGAGACAGTTCTCCATTAACTTCTCCAAAGCAGGGTCTTTCCATGGGCTGCAGTTCTTCATGAAGTATTCCAGCATAGAGTCCATTCCACAGGGTGCAGTTCTTCAGGAACAGGCTGTTCCACTGTGGGTCCCCCATGGGATCACAAATCTTACCAGCAAACCTGTTCCAGCATGGGCTCCTTTCTACACAGGTCCTTCCAGGGGCCTTCTCCCACATGAGCTTCCCATGGGGCAAACACCTCATTTTAGCACATCCACCTGCTCCAGTGTGGGGTCCTCCAGGGGCTGCAGGTGGATCTCTGCTCCCCCATGGACCTCCACGGGCTGCAGGGGCACAGCTGTCTCACTCACCATGGTCTGCACCACAGGCTGCAGGGGAATCTCTGCTGCAGTGACTGGAGCATCTCCTCCCCTCCTTCTCCACTGACCTTGGTGTCTGCAGGGCTGCTCCCCTCACATATTCTCAGTCCTTTCCCCAGCTACAGCTGCTGTTGCACAGCTTTTCCCCCCCCTTCATAAATATGTTATCCCAGATGGGCTCGACCATGGCCAGCTCTGTGTCCGTCTTGGAGTCAGATGGCATTGGCTCTGTTGGACATGGAAAAGCCTCTAGCAGGTTCTCACACAAGTCACTCCCTTGTGTGTAGCACCTCCTTCCACCACCACCAAAACCCTGCCATACAAACCCAATAAAAGTACTCCCTGAAAAAGAGTGACTTTTACAAGCTCACTCATTAATTCCCTCATAAAACTCACAGACCTACCTGATGATAAACTGGATTTCATTTAACATCACTGGAAATGGAGCATACATAATTTTTATCTTAATAAGCACAGAAAATGAAGATTTTCAGTTTACCCTAATGGAAGGGAATTCATATTAATTAAGTGGAATATCTACTAGGAACAATGTGTTGAACTTGCTTTTTCCTACATA